AAGAAATTTACAGTATTAATGAAAAGAACTGTCTCTACAGAAAAATTTGTTTGGGACCTGAAGGAGGGATAGGGCTTAAACTAATGAAGAGATAGGGAGGATACTCAAGATGACAGGTAGGCAGGTGAAAAGCACTATGACTGCAGTGAATAATGGGTTCTCATCAGCAAACAATTAACCAGAGCTACAGCCAAGCTCTTCTCAGCTATGTGTAGGAGTGACAAATCAAGCTAGGAGAATGTTAACTGTTGAGTCTAGGCTCCTAAATGGGTAAGCAGTGATTTATAGATTAGGTTAACAATATTTTCTTTCTTTTCAGTTTTTTATTAGTATTAAATACATAATCAGCATGGAAACTTTTTTTGTCTTTTTGTGACAGGGTCTTGCTATGCAGTTCAGGCTGGCCTTGAGCTCACTTTGTAGCCCAGGCTAGTCTCAAAATCACCAGGATCCTCCTGCCTCAGCCTCCTATTACAGGAGTATGCCACTATGCCCAACTGTATTGCATTTTGAGACAAGGTCTCACTATGTAGTTCAGGCTGGCCTTGAACTTGTAGGGATCCTTTTGCCTCAGCCTCCTGAGTGTGGAGATTATGGGCATGCACCACCACAAGTGGTTTACTTTGGTATTCTTGATGATCAAGCAGAAGTAGGGAAGAGAAATCACACAGAAGACAGCTAAATAGGTTTCTCTTGCTCATATTTCATTAGCCACATAATTCCCTGGCTGTATCCCATGCCATGTCTAATTTGCTTAACCAGAGAAGTTACTACCTACACTGCTCGCCTACATTACTATACAAATAATGTTTGCTCTCTGACATTTAGCTAGATTCTGCTTCAATTTCTTCACTATCTATTGTATGAAAAGAATCATCCAATCTCTATCTAATGATATACTGCATCATTTAAAATATTACTTTCATACTTTGACCTATTATGCCATCATCTTTACTATTCAGTTTCAATGTATTCTAGGCTAATCTAGGGTAATTACTATGAAAAGAGGAAACCAAAGACAGAAAATGGCAATAGTTGGAAGGTAAGGCAGAAGAACCACAGGCTGGAAGCCAGCTTGGACAACATGATAAGAGAAAAAAAGGACTGTGGATGTAACTCAGGAGGTGGGTCTGGGTTCAATCCTCAGTACCACCAAAAAAAAAAAAAAAACCACCCAGAAAACAATGATAAAGAGCATTATAATTATAACAGCAGACTATATAGCTGAAAAGAAAACAAAAATGATTTTAAAGTGACTCTCTGGCAGGCATAGTGGTACACACCTATAATCCTAGCACTGCATAGAGTTCAATCAAGGCCAGCAAGACCCTGTCTCAAAAAACCTAACTAATAAATCAGACAGACAGATACTGTGTCTTTGAGTTCCAAGCCCTTCTAAGCAGGCTTTTCACTTCACAGGACTCTTCACATTGTGTAAGAGCATCTACTGTGGCTGTGGAGGGTATGAAATAACACCAAGTATCAACCTAAGCTTGGAGCAGTTTCCAGCAGAGCACTGAAGAGGAAATTCCCAATGACACCAAGTGCTTACAGAGAAAGCAAATAGTCCTATCATTCCCATGGGGAAGGAGTGCTACCCTGTGACTTCAGGACTCCTCAGGAATGTCTGTGCTAACCTTTACTGAAGCCAAGAGAAAGGAGAAGCAGGGAATGAATATAGCGGCAGTGGAGGCAGCTACTGTCACAGCAGGAATGCGAGACTCAGGGTGTGAAACTTTGTGACAGTACCATCTGCTCCCTTCTCCAGCCTCGGCAGGTATTCCCAAGGCCTTCAAAAACACTAGACAGGTCTCTCCAGAAACTACATTCCTGAGGTGGTACTGATGTTTAAGAGAGTGTGAGCTTGCAAAGCTCACAAAGTGAATGAAGCTGGAGAAAGGCGAAGGCCCAGAGGTATCTTCAGGTGTTACTATTATGGATTGGGCCTTTAAATTTTTTTTAAATTATTTATTTATTTATTTGGTACAGGGTCTCAATACTCAGCTTGGATTCATAATGATTTTCCTGTCTCAGCCTCCCCAGCACTGGGGTTATAGCCATGTGCCACTATGTCCAGTTTTGGTGTCCAGCACAGCAGCACTACATGCAGTACTGGGGATCGAACATGGGTCCTTGTACTTGCCAGGTGAGCTATCTCCCCAGCCCATGGTTTGTGTCTTAATGTCCCCCCAAAGCCACAGTCATGGGGGGGTGCTTTACAGAGGTGGCTGAATCTGGAATTTGTAACTGACTTGTGATCCAATGTTGGGATTGAGGATGTGAGTTGCTACAACCCCTGCCTGAGGTAGGCTGCCTGCATATACCATAAGGAACAAAAAAAGGCTTGTACCCTCTTTCACTCTCTTGTTGCTTTTGCTGTCTTCCTCTGCCATGAACTGTTGTTGCCCATTTGCCATGGCACTCTGCCTTGGAGCCAGCTGATTATTGAATGAAACCTCTGTGAAGCCGGGGAGATGGCTCAGTACAATAAGCACTTGCCTGGCAAGTGCAAGGGCCTGAGTTCAATCCAGGCCAAAAAAAGAAAAAAGAAAGAAACCTCTGTGAAGGAAGAGCTACATAAACTCTTCCTCCCTTGGGCATTGGATATTTTGTCTCAGCAAGGAGAGAAGAGTAACTAAGACACTGATCTTAATTAAGACAACAAGGAGAGAAAGAAAAGACTGCAAAGGACAAGAGTAGGAAGTGAGAAGGCAGAGCAGAATATTAGGAAAGGAAGTCTCAAAACAATGTGTGATAAGCAGCACCACAACCATGGAGAACTGGTGCTACTATCCACCCACCCAAACCAGGCTCAGAAGGAGTCACTCTTTTACACTCCTAGCCCAGAACTCACCCACATACAAGGTGGGTGATTTCACAGCCCATTGTGGAGCTGGCTTTTGTTTTGTTTTGGTGTTGTACCAATAATTCAAGTGGGGGCTGGGGAGATAGCTCAATAGAACAGGTGGTCCTTGAACTCACTATGAAGCTCAGGATGGACTCAAACTCAGAGCTATCCTCCTGTCTCAGCCTCATAAGTGCTAAGATTTTTTTTTATTTTTTATTTTTTTAATTGAGAAATAAATATGAATGAGACAGTTTCACAGCTGATTAATAGGACAGTTTTGATAGTCAATACACTGTACATTTGTTATCTTCTTAGTGGTTATCCATAGTACAAGAAGCAGACAGGATATTCTGTTCAAACACTGTTAGTACACCTCTTTCTTCTCATTGAATTAAGCAAAAGTAGCTATAAATTTATCCTAACTATTTTG